AAAAAGTAGATCCCCTTAAAGGGTGCCTAAGAATCACCCAATGGTAGTATGGGGTACTATTTGGGGGTTCTACTTTTTGGATCCTCCCAGAGGTCTGGATAAGGGGTGTATGAGATCCCCTTTTGGTGGGGCCCATACTACGGGACCATGTGTCTACCCTAAAATGCTCGGCAACCAGGAAACAGGGCTCCTGTAAGGAGGGGCCCCTTTATGAATAGGGTTAAAAGGGCCCTCAAACCCTAAACCCTAAACCCCTCACTTGGGTTGTAAGTCTTGCTATTTAGGCTAGAACTCCCTTAACTAAAGCTGATATAGTAAGGGGGCCCTATATAGGGCCTGCAAGGACCGGACAGACAGGTCATGTTGAACTTCCAGCCAGTAAGCCCTAACCCACCTGAACCCCGCAAACCCCAAAACCTGGACCCAGAACCCTAAACCCTAAACCCTAAACCCTAAACCCTAAACCCTAAACCCTAAACCCTAAACCCTAAACCCTAAACCCTAAACCCAGATCAAGGAGGGGCGAAGTGGGGTTGCTCTGAATCCGGACTTGTGCCGGGCAACTTTGATAGGAAGAAGGATTCCTGATGGACACCCACAAAGAAAGGTTCGAGGGTTTGGGAATCAGGGCTTAGAGGAACATCGTACCTCGAGAGCTCTCAACCCCATAAATCCCAACCAACTCTCTACACCGCAAAAGCCCTATACACCGTGTACAGCTTTTTTGCTGTAAACCGTTAAAAGACAGGGTGTACCTTTTCTGGCTTAACTGACAAATATGAGGAGCCCACTAGATAAGCACGGCAAAGGGTTGAAGGTACCGTAACCAAGTTTAACTTCACTTTAAATTACTCCTTCCTAAGACCAAACAAATGTGGTCTATTTGGTTACCCCAGCATAGAACTCTGTATGACGACTATGTTGTCCTGACTATAGAGGTCGTGACAACCAAAAAACCTGAGCCCCAAGCCCTAAACTAAACGCTAAACCCTAGACCCAAAGCACGAAGCCCTAGACCCTAAACCCTAAACCCTAAACCCTAAACCCCTAACCCTAACCCCTAAACCCTAAACCCTAAACCCCAAACCCTAAACCCTAAACCCTCCGAGGGAGCACCGGGAGGGTGTCATGACCGGGTCCTTGACGAAAGGATTTGGTTCCCCCTCCCTAGACGATGCGCAGTCACTTGGGCCGAGGGCCGGGTGAAGAGGTTCAGGCTTTACAGGGCTTAGGGTTTAGGGTTTAGGGTTTAGGGTTTAGGGTTTAGGGTTTAGGGTCTAGGGTTTCGGGTCTCGGTTGGCCCCTTAAAAAAGCCTTTGAAAATCATTCCTGAATAGGATCAAAAATAGGCTCCTCTTGAAATCAGTATCTAGGGTTCCAAGTATGGGCCCTTAATTTGGGTCCCTTGTCATGTAGGGTTTAGGGTTTAGGGTTTAGGGTTTAGGGTTTAGGGTTTAGGGATATCTAGTAAGGGCCCATACTTTGGATCCCCATTAGCAAGGGTAAGGAACCACACCAAGGGGCCCCGGGTCCAACCTTGGACAATAAGGAAGCATGTAGCATGTCCCAGGGGCCTTCCCAGTAATGTTAGCGAATCTGAGTTCAGGGCTTGAGGGTTGAGGGTTTAGGGTTTAAGGGTTTAGGGTTTAGGGTTTAGGGTTGTCATACGATCTTGAACCACGTCCCTGATAGAACTTATGATCTGGCGCTCCAGAGTTTAGAGTTTCGGGTTTTGGTCAGCCATACAGAACACGCCCGGGCCCGCGTATGTTTATCGAAAGGTCTTGAGGAGGCTCTTCGTTACCTATACCTACACCAACTCCTAAACCGGGAGCCTCAAACCCGTTGAAGGGCGCACAGGCTATTTTGAAGGGAAAAAAACTAAGTAAAGTATATGAAAAAGTATAGAGGTCATACCGCACAGAGGGCGCCTCGGGGCCCTAGAGCCCGGTTTGAGGTCGCTGGCAGGCTTTCGTTTCTTTTTTGACCCTCAACCTTTGAAAGTAAGGCCCTGAAGCTTGTTGCTCGATTTTGGTGATGCCTGCAGGCACACAGGGTCGTTATCAGTCGGAAGCCGGCAGCCGCGCACGCCCCTGACGCCCCAACCCCCAACAAATGAGCCCTATGAGCTGTGTTTAGGGTTTAGGGTTTAGGGTTTAGGGTTTAGGGTTTAGGGTTTAGGGGTTTCGGCTATATTTGCGTCCCTAGACACGCTCTACCCCCGAAGCCTAAACGCCCAAACCCTAACAAGCTCTTCAACCGCAAGCCCTTTCTACTGTAGAATCTACAGACTGCAGACCTGCACACCTAAACCCTAAACCCTAAACCCTAAACTGCCCTAAACCCGAAACCCTAAACCCTAAACCCTGAACCCAAAACCCAAAACCCAAAACCCTAAACCCTAAACCCTAAACCCTAAACCCTAAACCCTAACCCTAAACCCTAAACCCTAAACCCTAAACCTAAACCCTAAACCCTAAACCCTAAACCCTAAACCCTAAACCGTAAACCCAAATTCAACCCTAACCCCTATACGGTCCTGCAAGAACGGTGCAAATAGAGCTCAGGGGGGGGGGGGGGGGGTTAAAAATCCTTAATAAAAGCATAAAGACTAATTAAATAGCAAATCCTGCAATAATATTATTATTGCCCCCTTAAAGGGCCCATTAAAACGAATGAATAAGTAAGCGCGCGAATCTTGTATTACAAGCGCACGCAATGAGTGAGAGAACGAAACACCAGACCAAATAAAATATGATAATTTGTATGAGCGGTTAAGATTAATAGTATTATTACGTAGAGAAAGGGGACAGTAATAATATTATTATAAGGTTTTCTGGTCCTTTAAGGGGGGTTTTTACTGAGAGAATACAATGTCATGAGGTTGTTCACGGACTCGCTTGGTATTATTCACTCGCGTCTACAGGATTCATTCGTTTACATTTTAATTCGGCTTTTCCTAGCTCCTATTAACTAAACGCATGAATCTAATGCACACACATCTGCTGTTCTCCCGTGCGCCCTTCATTTCATTTTAGTTTTTTGTATTTTAAGGGGTCTTTGGGGCATTTCTTGTAATCATTGACATGCATGAGTGAACGAATATAATGAGGAACAAAGCCCCAATAAAAATGCTAACAAGGAACGATTTTTGGATTATAAAATTACGTGTTTTTGATTATTGTTCTTTCTTCTTTATTCTTTATTCATTCGTCTTTATTTATATTATTACAGGAAATCTAATACTAATGACCCCAAAATAGGTCTTTTAACGGGGGAAATGATGGGACGTTCTACAGGCTTATATTTAGTTTATAATTGTTCCCTTAATATTATAACTAATGAGGATATGAATGTAATACTATTATAATTAAGGGAACAAAAGACGCTCTTTGTAAACTAAATAATAAGTCCACTAAAATATATTTAATATCGTCCCAAGACCTCCCTCAGGATGTGTAGAACTGTGGTGCATGCTTTTTGGTGTGTTAGGGTTGAGGGTTGAGGGTTTAGGGTTTCGGGTTTAGGCTTAGGGAACTATAGAGCTTCGAAGCGTGCGCGGGCGGGTCAACCCATCATTATCACGCCCTCGAGCGCGCACGCGCCCGAGAGAGGCAGTTGCTTGTGGGGTGCCCTGCTTTCACTCTTGCTGAGAAGTGGGGGAGTTGGGGGGGTTTAGGGTTGGTCTAGGGTCTAGGGTTTTAGGGTTTAGGGTTGAGGCTAGGGGTGGAGGGGGGCTGCATCATGAATCGCGGCTTACTTCAGCCATCCTTAGGTTTCCTTATAAGGGTTTTTAGGGTTTAGGTGGAGGGTTAGGGTTTAGGCTTAAGACCGCGCCTCAGAGCAAATGCAAGCTTACGTGGGCTTTTGGGGCTTTTAGGGCTCTAGGGCTTTAGGGCTTGTAGGTTTAGGGCTTGTGGGGTTTGGCTTGCAGGCCCCATGAGTGGGCTTTAGAGCAACTGCTGTCCGGTGGTCGCAGCATCTTTGGCTGCCCTAAACCCTAAACCCTAAACCCTAAACCTAAACCCTAAACCCTACCCTAAACCCTAAACCCTAAACCCTAAACCCTAGACTTCCCAAGGGACGTAAGGAGGGACTCCGAGAAGGGACCTCACAGTGGGGCTACTTAGGGTATGTGGTTTAGGGTATAGGGTTTTGGCTTTGGTATGTAGGGACAATATAAGGTGTATATTTTGATATATATATATACATAATATATATATATATATATGTGTTCTAGACCCTGCCTAGAACCCTGAATATTCCTATGCAGAATGGTGTGCACCAATAGTTGAAGTTCCAGGGGAAGTTACGAAGTGGGCTATAAGTATGTAGGAAGTCATAGTATGTCGTAGCTATTTAGTTTCTCATGTGCTTAGGGGAGTGGGGGGGGGGAAGGGGGGGGAAGGGGGGGGGAAGGGGGGGGGGGGGGGGGAAGGGGGGGAAGGGGGGGGAAGGGGGGGGAAGGGGGGGGAAGGGGGGGGGAAGGAATCTAAACTGTGGGCCCTGTTCTGAGGGCTTGGGGTTTGGGGTTTAGGGTTTAGGGTTTAGGGTTTAGGGTTTGGTTGATGGCATTGATGGTATCTAGAGCAGCCTAAACCGTAAACCCCAAGAGTTCAGAGAAAGAAGGGTGATCTGGCGTCTGCGTCTTACGAAGGCCGTACACAAGGAGGGCCCCCCTAGTTAGAAGTAGGGATGTAAGGCTCCTACATGGGGCTGACGACAAAAGTACTCTGGCCAATATGTCGTTTGGGGGTTAGGGTTTCGTGCTGATTGGGGATGGGAGTTAGTATAAGGTGACACCAAGAGAATTTGGATTCCACCACCCCCACATGCAACAATAAGAAACAAAAAGGCACTCGAATATACCCTAAACCCTAAACCCTAAACCCTAAACCCTAAACCCTAAACCCTAAACCCTAAACCCTAAAGCTTAAAGAGTGCAGGTACCTCCTAACTTCCAAAGCAATCACATCGCTTCCCTTCTCAGGACAGGCTCATCAATATCTTCCCAGACGCCTGCAGGGGCTTCTCTCTCAGACATAGGACGTGCCTGTACAACCCCCCCCCCCCCCCCCCCCCCCCCCCCACCCATACTACTCATTACCCTACACAGGGTTTAGGGTTTAGGGTTTATAGGGTTTAGGGTTTAGGGTTTTGGGCAACCCTGAACCCTAAACCCAAGTCAAGCCAATCGCTAAAACCCTGGCATGTTGCCAGTGTAGAGCAACTGTCACCTCAAGGGTACATAAGCCTCCTAGCGGTACCTTGGGCGAGAGGAAAGGGGGCAGGGTGGGACCTGCGGAGGCCTCAAACCCTAAACCCTAAACCCTAAACCCTAAACCCTAAACCCTAAACCCTAAACCCTAAACCCTAAACCCTAAACCCTATGCTAGATAAAGTCAGGGAGAACGAGAAAGCAGTGGACTTCTCCGGCCGAGTATGCAACAGACGCGGCTGTCCCTGCAAACTGAATCCGGATGTCACCAGTTGAGGCCTAAACCCTATACTCTGCTCCCCTAAGCTCTATACTCTGTCTCCCGCAACAACCAATATTCAAGGAACTCGATCCTTCCAAGCGACCTTGCAATTTACTTCTGGTGGAGCTACTTAGGCATATACAAGGAACATGCTGCGCAAGGTGTGCTTTTGCTGAATCGGCTCCCTGGGTCCCTCCTATGCTCGCAGAAGGGGGGACCCCCTAGAAGGGACCCTTAGACCTATCACCCTAGATAACCCTTCTATATACCTTATATAGTCCCTATATACCTAAGTAGCCCCTAAAGAAGCCCCCAAGACCCCCTACTTGGAGGTTCATGGTACTTATTCACCAAGTGTAACTGTACTTATCACACACTTGTAAGCCCCTTAAGTTCCCTAATATGGATATAAGTACAGTTATAAGTACAGTTATAATTGGTGAATAAGTACCATGAACCCCTAAACCCTAAACCCTAAACCCTAAACCCTAAGCCCTAAGCCCTAAACCCTAAACCCTCCCAGTTACCCTGAACCTCCAAGTACCAGGAAGGCATCCTGCCTGCCCGGCGGATATTGTATGAGCTGCTTGTCCTCCTCGAGATCTTCCTGGAAGTATCTGCGCCTGTCATGGACGCTACGCCCACTACAGCCCTGATTGCCAGGAGAACTTTCCGCTTCCCCTAAAGCCTAAACCCTAAATCCTAAACCCTAAACCCCAAACCCAAAATCCTAAACCCTAAACCCTAAACCCTAAGCCCTAGAGATCCCACAAGCCCTAAGGTCAGGGAGCCCTGAACCCAAAGCCCTAAGCCCAGAACTTCCCTGAGCCCTGCCCCGTAAACCCTAGAGACACGAAACCCTGGAACCCTATAGCTTCCCCTAACGGTCACCCTAAACCCTAAACCCTAAACCCTAAACCCTAAACCCTAAACCCTAAACCCTAAACCCTAAACCCTAAACCCTAAACCCTAAACCCTAAACCCTAAACCCTAAACGTATTGAATACTTGGGCCTGAAAGTACTTACTATGGGGCCCAAGTATATACTAATGAGGTACACGGACCCTTAGGGTTCTAGTAGGGCTAGGACACGAGAATGCGGATGTTAGAGCTGTTGTGAGGCTCCTCGAGGTTTGGGGGGTTTAGGATTAAGGGTTAAGGGTTAAGGGTTTAGGGTTTAGGGCAGCAAGAACCCAAGCCCAACTGACTTCCCATTTTGGGTCCGATGTGGGCCGGCGTGCCTGTCTTTCTTCTCTGCCGGCTTGCCTGGCGAAGGGTGGCGATGTGCGGCCGCATGCTTGGGGCTATCGACTGCTAGGCTGCTAGAAAGCTTCTAAGGGTAGTTACACGGTCCCTTAGTATGGGCCCTTGACAGGGTACCCTTGCATACCCCTCACATACCCTATACAAATTAAGGGCCCTTAGATCAGAACCCTTTAAAGGAAGTTAGGGACCATGTTAACGTGATAAGGGCCCATGAAACTACCTTAGATAGGAAGCCAGAAGCCGCATGTGCTAGCCTAAGCAAAACCATTTCCCACACGAGAGTCTGCTTGCCATTTGTTCTACAAGCAGGGGCCCCCTTGCCCCCTTGAAATACTAACCTTAGTTGAGGTAATTACAACCTACATAGTATGACTCATAACCCCACTTTAAGGCCCTTATAACCCCGATTTATACTTACAAGTCTCCGCACGAAGTGTGCCGGCGACTTGATGCTGGATGAAGAGCAAAGGGTGTGAGGGACCATGGCGGTTGTGCTGCCCAAACTGAGAACCCAATAGGGCCGGGAATGGTTGCGTGGTGTTCTTCCCCCTCCCTTCCCCGCCTCCCTTCCCTTCCTCCCCTCCCCCCCTCCCTTCCCCCCTTTGGGTTTAGGGTTTAGGGTTTAGGGTTAAGGGTTAAGGGTTAAGGGTTTAGGGTTTAGGGTTTAGGGTACAAGCAGGGGGGGAGGGGGGAAGTGGGGGAGGGGAGGCGGAAGAAGCCGTGGGAATTGGAGGGTTTAAGCGACTCCATCAAACCCTATAAACCCGACATCCAATAAGCCCTAAACCCTTAAACCCTGAAGTCTGAACGCCTCGCACCTCAACCTTTACACCCTGCACTCCCCAGCCAAAGCCCCTGAAGCGCGAGACCCTCAAAAAAGGGGGCGCCTGCGCGGGAACAGCAGAAAGTGCAAATGCCCGCGCAGCCAATGCAAACCTGCAGCATGGCTCGCTGTACTTGGAGTTTCATGGGTAGTTCTAAGTGGGGCTATAAGCAGGGGGTTTAGGGCCGTGGGATTAGTTTCTAGGGTAGCTATAATTATGATTACGCGTTTTTTTAAAGTAAGGGTAGGTATACTTAGAGGCTGCTGATGACGCTACTTAGTACTACCCACGAACCTTGAGAACCCCCGAAAAACCACAACTTGGAAAAAGGGGTTTGGGCACTCGGACTTTAGATGCCTTGCGGTTGAGGACAAGAGCCGGGGGATAGGGTTAGGGGACCAATGGGTCCACGGTTCAGGGTCCGTGGATTTTAGATAGGTTTAGGGTGGTCGGCAGGATCCCTAAACCCGAAATTAGGTACTCTTTCTGGATTGAAGCGCTCTCTGAGAGTGCAAGCGGCGCGTACTCTATAGCTGCTTATATAGCCCTAAACCCTAAACCACTCTTACATATATAAAATGTACAAATGTTAATGACTTTGCTTGCAAGGTCACTACAAGGTCATAAACTTAGTGGGCAAGGTCATTACAAGGTCACTACAATACAAGGCCCCATGGCCTTGCTACGACCTTTGCCCGCTAATTTTTGACCTTGCAGTGACCTCGTTATGACTGCCCATATAAAGAGCGGGCAAGGCCATATCATTGTAGGCAAGGTCGCTACAAGGTCACTACAAAGTCATAGAATTAGCGTGCAAGGTCATTACAAGGTCACTACAAGGTCATATGACCTTGCTATTAGCTTGCACGCTTTGTAGTGTCCTTGCAGCGACCTTGCCCGCTCTTTTCATGACCTTGTGCCCACAAGGTCGACACAAGGTCCCCCACAAGGTCACCAGAAAATCCCTCACAACAAGGTCACCACAAGGTCCCTCACAAGGTCCCGCACAATGTCCCCGAAGGTCACCACCCCACAAGGACCCTGCCCTTTCCCCCACCCCTCCCCCTCCCTCTCCATTCTCCCTAAATTTGGGGTTCAGGCCTACGTTTAGCCCAGGGCGTAGGGTTCTCAGGGTAGGGTTTAAGGGCTTCAGGGCCGAGTGCTTAGGGTTTGGGTTGTGTGTGAAACGTTTGAATATCTTAATGGTTTGGGATTCTCTGGGTGGGTGGGTAGTTTTCGGGCACCTGAAAAGCTGCTAAACTAGCGAATGCATGAACTTTGAGAACCCAAAGCCCAAAACCCTGAACCCTAAACCCCATACCCCCGCGTCTTGGGGCTTCCAGGGCTTGTCTTGTTCGGGCTTCAGTCGGGTTGAGGGTCCCAAAGCCAAGAGGCCCAGTCCAGGGGTTGAGAGTGGGCTGAGGGGTTTATGTAGGGTTGAGTGTTTAGGGTTCCGGGTTTAGGGTTTAGAGGTTATGGTTTGCTAGAGTTGGGCCGTAAAGTTGCTGTATAGGACTGGACCCAAGAGTAACCTAGGTAATTAACAAAGGGACCCTTTTTGGTTTAAAGGGCCGATAAGGGAACCTAAACCCCCAAAAAAGAGAATGAGGGTCGACTCTGGGTCCTTTTCGGAAGTACGTACTATTGAAGCCCAAGCATACTGCCCTGCTTAAGTACTTAGGGTTTAGGGTTTAGGGTGAGACCCTTGAAAGATGAAGATCTACTCCTTAACACGCCAGCGCACGCACCACATGTGTGTGTGTGTACATGTGGTCACTCCTCTTAAGTGGTTCCTGTTGGGGTCCTTGTATTTAGGGAACCCCAGAAAGGGACCCTAATTTAGAGAACTCAACAGTGTTTTATCCCAAGCCATGCCCCGCCCCACCCTAAACCCTAAACCCTAAACCCTAAACCCTACACCCTAAACCATGCTCAGGCTGCCGCAAGGAAAGCCAAGAGGATACCCAGACCTAGGCACCACCAGCGATACCTGACCGAGCTTGAGGCGATTCGGTCTGGGAGGATGTGGGGGATTGAATGCAATCAGATAAAAGTTGTGGAAGTTGCTCTTGAGAGCAACTATCCACTCCTCCGTGCAGCTTTGTGGCGTTTCGGTGTTTCCTAAACTCTAGACGACCCTAGACCCTGCACCGTAAACTTTGTCGAGCCCTGAGCCCTATTTAATCCTGAAACCATCGCCGTTCACCGCAAGTCTCTTTGTGCTTATCACGGCTCGGTCTGCAGGGCTCTTGGCAATTTCTTTGGTGATCCGCAGAAGCGGCTTCTAAAGAGAGCCAACAGGACTTCGAGTTCGGGGTACTGATAGGGTCTAGGGTCTCCCTCTAGATATCATTGAGTTTAGGGTTCGGGGTGTAGGACTTCGTCTTTGGGGCCTGCAGAAAAGAATTCCCCAGACCTTATAAGGAGTCGACTGTTCGGAGGGGCCGAACCTGAAAGAGGTTGAGGGTTTAGGATTTAGGATTTAGGTCTAGGGTTTAGGATTTAGGGTTTAGGGTTTAGGGCTAAGAAGGGTTCGAAGCAGCGCTGTGTCAGAGAGTGCGCGTAGCAGTACTCATGACAGGATGTGCGCCCTTTTGCAACCCTCACTTACCAGGACGACCGATTATGCCCTTTAACCCCTGAAAAAGGCCTTTTATAGGGTTGACTATTGGGATTATAGGGGCCTATAGCCCATCCTAGTACACCCAAATCAAGGAAGACCCGGTGATTCCAAACGCCCATGCTGACTGGACCACGAAAGGAATGACAACCTGAACCCTGAACCGGTAATGAAGACAGCTTGTACTGGATGTGAGTTTGGGGGGGGGGGGGGGGGGCGGGGGTCTGAAGGGTGTCAGATCCTACAGGCACTCGAAGAATTTTGGAACCCTTTGGAGCCTTACGCGGAACCCCCTAACCCTAAACCCTAACCCCCCCCCCCCCCCCCCTAAACCCCTAATTAAACCCGAAACCCTAAACCCTGAACCCCTAAACCCCTAAGCCCGAAACCCTGCAAGCCCAGCCTTGCATAGATGTGGTTCACCTGACCTTCGCCTGTAGCACGAAATTCTCGAGTTTTGTGGTCTCTTTATTCTGCTGGAGGTTAGGGTTTAGGGTTTAGGGTTTAGGGTTTAGGGTTTAGGGTTTAGGGTTTAGGGTTTAGGGTTTAGGGTTTAGGGTTTAGGGTTTAGGGTTTAGGGTTTAGGGTTTAGGGTTTAGGGTTTAGGGTTTAGGGTTTAGGAATTTGGGTTTTGGGTTTAGGGTTTAGGGTTTAGGGGGCGAATAAGGGTTCCCAATTCTTCTGTACACTCTGATCGAACTTCAGAACCTCCAGTCGCCAAGCCTACACCTTAAAACCCGCAAACCAACAAAAGCCTACTCCGAACCCCGAAGCCCTAAACCCTGTGAATCACCTCAAACCCTATGCCTTAACACCCCAAACCCTAAACCGCAGAACAAAGCGATCCAAACAGGTAGAACCCCCAAATACTGGCCTTTGCTACTATTGGGCCTGTGTAGGAGCCCTTAAGAGGTTCTGCCCTTTGGATCCCTTTCAGGGGTCTTGGTAACATCCTCAAGACCCCCCCAGTTTCGAACCCGAAGCCGATTTCCCCTTCCCACACGAACACGCACTTACCTCCCCCCTGCCGTCCCCCGGACTCAGGGCTTTGGGTATACTTTAGGGACCTTTAGGGTTTAGGCTTTAGGGTTTAGGGTTTAGGGTACCAAGCCCCTACTATTTCTTTGAGCAGAAACGCGGCAGTTTCCACGAGTAGCTGCAAAAACGGTAGGCGCAGCAAGTCGCACTGGATTGCTGCGAGAGCCACAGGACACAGCCACTCTAATACACTGCGAGGTGGCTGCAAAGAGCAGCTGTCACTGCTCTTTCCACCCCGCATCTGAGCAGTCAAAGAAACCTCTGGAGGCATCCTTGTTTGCGGATCCAAGCCATTGCAGACCCCTTCCTTGAACTTGCGATCTTGGCCGCCGGGTCTTTTGCAGATTTCCCCTTCCCGAGGTTCCGACAACCAACAACAATATATTCTTCCAGCCGGTCCAGGGCCCAGGAGCTCCTCTGCGACGGCATACTGCTCTTGGCCTTCATATCGTGGTGTGAGCTCCTCATCAGGGAAGAAGCTATGCCCCTGCTGCTGATACTCCACTGTTGCCCCAAAAACTCTGAGCCGCTCGAGTATCGGTGCGGTGACGAGATCATCAACGCCCACCTGGCGCAATAGCTCCTCCACAGCTACAACCCATTTTGCTTCCACACCCTTGCAGATCATGCACATGAGCGCCAGGGAGGACCGCCTCCCTGGCACTCATGTGCATGATCTGTCCCCACATCTTAAATTGCAGTAGCGGCGACGATACGGATTCATACTAACTGTGCCAGCTGCCAAAACCTGCTCCTCTCTTTTCTTAGCTTTGAAGACGTTCTTGGGGACTCGCCAGTCTAAGAGGGGCAGTGCCGCACATTTGTTCTGTGTGAATCACGCAGAGCAAAGGTGCGGCGCTGCGCATGGCCGCAATCGCGCACGTGCGCACCTGGCACGCTTCACGGATGAAGGTGCCCTCGGACCAGGACGGGCTACAAAGCCCTATAATCCCCGTAATCAACCCTGTAAAGTGCCTTTTCTCAGGGGGTGAGAGGGTAATTACAATAGCCCTAAACCGTAAACCCTAAACCCTAAACCCTAAACCCTGAACCCTAAACGGTTGCTAGCCCATGCTGGGAACGGTGGCACTTGTAGGCCCTTCTGTGGGCATCTTTGCTGGCCTGGCGAAGAAGCCGCCCTGCGGGGGCTCCGGCATCGGTCTTGGGGACTCGAGAAGTCTATGCACAAGCCATGGTACCAGGATGGGCTATGATAGGCCCTATAATCCCCATAATCAGCCCTATAAAGGGCCTTTTTTAAAGGGGTTATAAGGGTCTAATTAGCCCGTCCTGGTAGATCTCGCTGCTTCAGAACCGGAATCTGACAGATGCAAAGGCATGCCTGGGTGACCCTCGGCCCTAAACACCTGAACCTTGTAAACCTCCCACCGAAAACCAACCCCCCCCCCCCCCCCCCCCCCCCCCCCAACAAAAACAAACTCTAACCCCTAAACCCAAAACCCTTATAACTAATAACCCTAAACCCTAAACCCTTAACTAACCCTGAACCCTAAACCCTAACCGTCCCCCCTCCCCCCCCCCAAGACCGCGGCACTTCCCGTCGGGTTGCATCACCTCGGGGAGTTGGGGCCCTCAGGGCCTTGCCCTACGGGTACATGGGTTTAGGGTTCAGGGTTCAGGGTTTAGGGTTCAGGGTTCAGGGTTCAGGGTTTAGGGTTTAGGGTTTAGGGTTTAGGGTTTGGGGTTTGGGGTTTAGGGTTTAGGGGGTTTACCTGGGCTCTTAAGCACTTCAGAAGCCACGACTTTGAGGCCCAAGCATATTTTGGGCACATGGACCCTTAGTTCGTCTGCTGTTTCTTTGGGGTGAGGCCTAGCTTAGAGCCCAGAAAGGCTTTCAGTTGAAGAGCCCAAAACCCTGAACCCTGAACCCTCACAACCCCAAACCCCAAACCCTACACGTCAAAGTTGCGAGGGTTTAGGCAAAACCCACATCTGATCCTCTCGGAGTGCTTCGCTTTACTTCTAAACCCTAAACCCTAAACCCTAAACCTTGAACCCTAAACCCTAAACCCTTTTCAATACCGGGGGGTTTTTATCATCCCACATTGTGGCTTTAGTGGATTTCGGGCTCAGGGGTGGGGCTTCCGGCAGTGGGAGAAGTAGAGGGGGCCCTAAACCCCAAACCCTACACCCTGAACTCTTCTTGGTGTCCTGTTTGTGCTTTGCAGAGTTTAGGGTTCGGCTAGGGCGTAAGTGGGCTGAGGCATGTTTCTGTCTTATGAAGCCCCAATCAGGCCTTGTTCTCAGCTCCCGGGTACTCCACGGGTAGCTGAGAGTGAATCTCTACGTAAGGCTACCTATCCCAACCCCGACATGGCGACCCTCTGAACCCGTGTGAACCCCTAAAGCCCTACATCCCCGAAATCCCTAAGCCTACACCCTGAACCCTAAATCCGTAAGCCCCTACACCCTACACCCTGAACCCAAAAACCTTAAACCCTTAAACCCCTAACCCCCTAAATAAATGTAAAGCTGTGGAAGAAACCCCCCCGTAGCCCTCCTGGCAGGCGTCCGACTTTCTTTCCGAAGGCACACGAGTTTGGCTCCGAATGGAAAAGGAGCGAGTGGCGGAGGCCGGGCCCCGAGGGTCTTTTCTTAGTTTTAGATTGGTAGCGGAGCTACGGCTCCAGGGTTGTCCTTCGTATCATGTCGGCCGTGCCCGCATGCGGTGTGAGTGGTTCGTTCTATGAGCCCGTTGGTCCGCGACCTCGTACTTTCCCTTTACATGATCCGCCGCATGTTGACGGTGATGGCGTTGATGGACGGTGCGGCGGCAGAGGTGATGATCAAGTCGGAGCACATGATCGTGTGGGTGCAAACCGTCCTGAACCTTCGGACGGCAAGTTTGGATGGAGCTGGAGTGCAGGCCGGGATTCTTCCTAGTGGGGATACTCCTGGGGAGATGGCCAGTGGGCAGCCGGAGACTGGGGTCACGGCTGTGATGGCCATGCGAGAAGGGCAAGCCGAGGCGAGACTTGGGGTACTACCTCCACTGGCTCTGGGTCCGCGGGTGGCATGGATCCAGATGGCGAAAAGGGAGCTTCCTTCCCTGACGGGTGGAAGCCACAAAGCTTGGGCTCCGAAGACAGGCCACCCCGAAATGGAGACGGTGGGCGTGGTCCATCGGAGAAGATGGTGGTGCCGACCTTCTCCGGCGCGCTTGAGCCCGGAGAAGAACTTGGGGCGACCGCTCGCTCCTATCTTCGACAGATCGCAGCGTGGAGACGGATGACAAGGTTGGCTGCGAATCAACAAGGGCTCACCTTGTATCAGGCCCTGACAGGAAAGGCTTGGATCGACGCTGAAAGATTGGACGTGGATCGATTGGCCACCGAGGACGGCATCGAGTACTTCATCACGTGGGTGAAGGACAGGTACCTGGATGTGCAGATCACCCAGGTGGGGAGGAGCCTGAGTGACTTCTTCAGGCGCCTCAAGAGGCGCCCTGGACAATCGATCAGAGACTACATGAGTGAGTTCGACCGGGCCCTGGCTCGACTTCACGAGTGTGGGTGCGTTCTTCCAGACTTGGCATCGGCATGGGTCTTCGTTGACAGGATGGAGTTGGAGGAGGGAGCGGAGCTCAACCTCCTTGCCTCGGTAGGGAACCAGTACAACCTCAAGATGCTTCAGCAGGCGGCCATCGTCCAAGATCGTACCCTGAGAAAGCCCTGGGAGAATACCCATCGTCCCGAGAAGAACCCCAGGCGAGAATGGTGGAACAAGAGACCTCAGACGGCGCACATGGCAGAGATCCCCGAGGACCACAACGAGGGCGAGGGCATCAGCGATGGAGGCGACAGTGAAGAAGCAGTGCCCGAGTCAGTGGCCCTCGAGTACTACGAGTCGTTCATGACGCATGAGACGGCGAAGCACAAATACAGGGAGAGCATGCGGCTTCGCGGGAGTGATCCGAGCTCTCTCCAGGAGATGGCGACCGCGAAGCTCGAGGCAGCCAAGGCCAGGAGCTATTGCGCAGGATGCCGTCGCAAAGGGCACTGGCATCGACACGCCTGTTGTCCGCTGAACCAGGCCAAGACAGCGGGCGGCGGCACTACGTCCTCTCCTATGCCTTCCTCCACGACGAGCAAAGTCTTCGGCGGCCACGAAGGGGACTGGACCTAAGTCAAGCTATGCCTGCCACGTGGTACATGTGACATGGGATATGGAACATGAGAAGGTCCCCACCTCCTTGGCGGCGATCACGGACACGGCGTGCTCGAGATCAGTGGCGGGCCTACCATGGATTGAGCACTATATCACCTTGGCCGGCAAGGTCGGATACCAGCCGGTGATCATGGAGTGCACGGAGTCCTTCAAGTTCGGCGCATCACGCATCTTCGAGGCCTCGTATGCCATGCTGGTAGGGTTCGCCATGGGCAAGTTCGAGATCTGGCTGAAGGTCGCCGTGGTCCGGGTTGATGTTCCTCTCCTCATGTCTCGCCCAGCATTGGGGCGACTCGGGATGGTGATGGATGTCCAGCACAACACCGCGACCTTTCGCGCCTTGGGAGTCGAGGACTACCCCCTTCTGACCACCGACACCGGCCATCCTGCACTTCCCGTAGATCCGGTTTGTCCGACTCCGGAGAATGCTCGGTCCCATGAGTGGGCCTCGAACGAGATCCGCATCGTCCCGCAGAGCGAGTCATATATTGGGGCTGGGGTTCTCAGGGGGAAGGGGAAGGTCTTCGAAAGTCTTATGGTTGGGAACGTCGAGGAGTTTGGTTCGGAAGATGTGGTTGGCCCTCCTCCTCTTCCCCGAGCCTGTGAGACGGATAGGAAAGCCACAGAACAGCAAGTACTCGGTCATCAAGCTCCCCATCTTCCTTGTGTATCTCTAGGAGGCCCCGGGGTATCTCAAGATGACCCTCGACAAGTACATGTACATTCCCGACAAGTACCTCCCAAAGAGCCATCGAGGTCAGCGCATTCCCCACTGAGTTTGAGATCTCCTACCCAAAGCAACCCACCTGTGTTCTATCCCAAGAAGATTGGTGAAACTGTACGCAACATGTTGCTCATGGATAAGCTCAACCCCAAGACCTTTGCGATGTGGTGGCGTCAGGCATCCGTAAGTAACGACTTCTGGATAGAGGGTGAGTACACTTTGGTGAGGATCCATGTCGTACCTAGGAGGTCCTTTTTCGATCCTGGAAGTTGGAACACAGAGTATCAGGATCAGAAGGCTGCATTAATGAGCTCCTTGGGACATCTCAGAACCACCGAGGGAATCTCCTGTAAGTCCTTCCGAGAGTACGCCCCTGTCCATGATGAATGGCGGAAAGCAGAGAGCAAGTCCGCTTTTCCGCTTTTGTGGATCGGGAGATCAATCTTTAGCAGATCGCACCCTGTGCCCAATCTCCACAGTGCTTCGTGCCCATCCCATGGCCCCGAAGACAGTCCTCTTGACCGCCCCCATCGTGACGAAGCAGAAGGGACTATGGGAGCTCAACAGGGAAGAACTGTTGCGGGAGGCGGAAGCCCGGGGGTTGATGACGCACCCCAAGTGGACCAACGGGGAGATTCGCTCCATCATCCAGGAGGACATCGCCGGGCAGAACACTGGGTCGAGCCTCTCAATCCAGAACTTGAGCAAGATGACGCTGACGGAGCTCGAGGATGCGGCGGTGGCAGCCGGGATGTCCCCGCCGGTGAAGGCAAACAAAGGCGTCCTCATGAGAATGCTGAGAGACAATGGGGGTATGGGGCCTCAAACCCTCATGACCTTCGGCCGCTTCAAGGGACTGATGTTCCACGAGACCCCTCCGGGGTAGCAGAACAACAGCAACGCCAGCGAAGACCTGAAGATGTACGCTACCTGGTGCGAGAGGGAGGCAGAGTCGACCACCACGAACAGGGCCTCGACGAGCTACATCGACCCGGAGGACATGGCAACCCGGAGGAGGAGCCCGCGTCGGTGTGGAGCCTGGTGACGTCAGCAAGGGGAACGCCGAAGAGCAGAGCCCATCCGGGACGCCACGGGGATGTGACTCATTACCCCTTGACCCCACCGAGATCAACGAGACGACCGGCACCTTCAGCGACTACCTCACAGGCGGGCGAGATGGACGAGGACCAGGACCCGGAGCACGAGATAGCAATCTTGGAGAGGCGATTGGTGGAGTTGAGGGGGCAGCACGGCCTCCGCCCCGGGGGCATGTGAATCAAGAAGATGGCGAGGTCTTCCAGGACTGCCTGGAGGATGCGGGGGGCCAATGTGACCTCGCCGAAATCACCCAAACCCCCAGTTCCGGGAGACCACACTGCACGGATGACAACTCCAATGAAGACGACGACTTTGTCCGGCAGTACGTTATTCAGGAAAACCATCACGAGACCCCGGAACATGATGAAGTCCTGGACTACAAGCAGAAGATCTCCGAGTGTGAGAAAAGAGCCAAGACGAAGCTCCAGGAAAAGAAATTCGACTATGACGACCTGACAGAGCTAGTGCGAGCCATTCCCCTCAAGAAGACCAGGAAGCACAGGAACATCCAAGGAGGCCACGGGACTAGTGGGCAGTCCTTCGTCGGGGGCCTCTACACACATGGCGGGCTGCGCGGCATCACTTCACGCAGCACGGAGCTTCCTTGGACCATCCGATACATCAACATGTGCATGCGCAACAAGGTCTCCGGGAGCTGGACGTCCTTCGTCCTTCTGAAGGATGTTCAGACCTCGGTGCACAAGGACGTTCACAACTTGGGAGGGACCGAGGTGATCACTGTGACTATCGGAGATTTCTCAGGTGGGGGCCTCTGGCTCCATGTCACGGATCCCGACGAGTTGTCCGAGTCCGAGATCGTCTGGAAGGACAAGCCCGGCTCCCTCGGTGAAAAGATTCCTGGGCGGGTGGTCTCAAAAAGGAAGCACCACTTCGGATAGACCCCAAACGCTACCACGCGACCGAGGACTGGGCCGGCGAGAGATGGTGTTTGGCTTTGTTTTCATCAAGAGGATACCCAGGACTTGAACAACGGGAACGCGATGTCCTTCGAGATCTTCGTTTTCCTCTTCGCGGTCTTCCCAAAGCCCGAGGAGGAGATGACACTTTCCAGGAGACCACGAGGCCCAAGAAGAGCGTCCGGAAGCAGCTATGGGGAAAGGCAAAACGCCTGTCCGCACTGACGACTTGGTGCACCATCGCAGCATCGATGTGCGCCTCAGAATTGCTCCCGACCCCACGCGGAGTCGAGAGCGTGTCTCTCATGGAGATCGGAGGATGGGAGAAGACCCTGGAACTTAGCGCCATGGACTACCCCACGGCCGAGCCCCTCTTTTATGACGAGCTTGACAATGGGATAGTCGGTGGATGTGATGCCATGGAGGCGTGGCGCGCGCTCCAACCGGCTGTGCTTTGGATCCATGGTCGAGAAGATAAGCCTTGCCCATTTGAAGTCGGCGACCTGGCGAAACGCCAAACCATCCGTGGAGGAGGACTTGTCGTCGAGGCCTACAACAAGGACCCGATTTGGGAAGAAGAGTGGATGGAGGATGTGGTCAGATTTGGCGACAACCTCACTGAGACGACCCAGGACGATGGCAAGCGCACTTTGTCCCTGAACCGGGAGAATGTAGAGGACCTTGTGAAGGTTGGGGAAGCCACGGAGGCAATCCTGCAGCGCTACCTCGAGACGAAGGAGAAAGGGACAGAGGACGAGGCCTCCCGGATAGAGGAAGGGGAGGACGACATCTCTGGCAGCGTCCCGGGAGAGGTGTATGTCGTGGACAAGAAGAATCGGCAAGAGCCTGGAGCGGATGGAGCACGGAATGAAGATCGAGGGGCAGGGGCAATATCCTTCCAGGACGACAAGGACATCCCGAGCGAGATTAAGTCGGCATTGCGCCGGCTCCACCAAAATTTGGGTCATCCTTCAGGAGGTGATTTGGCGAGACACCTCAGGATGGCCGGGGCTGGGGCTGAAGTAGTCCAGGCTGTCAAAAAGATGAGATGTCAAGTGTGTGAGCGAAGCCGGAAAGGAGCTTCGCCCAAGCCAGCCAGCTTCCCGACTCTTCTGGAATTCAACCAGGTGGTCGCTCTCGATGCCTTCACATGCTACGACTGCTCTGGAGCGAAGCATGAGTTCATGATGGCCCTCGACCTCGGGACTGGATTTGGATTGGGGGCAAGCCTCAAAGGACACTCCAGCGAAGCCATGGAGGCCACGTTCAATGAGATGTGGTGCCAGGTGTTCGGGCCACCGACCACCTTGGTGCTGGATTTGGAATCGGGACTGCAAGCCGGGTTGGGACGTTTCAGTGAATGGCATGGAACAAAGATCAGGCCGATTGCAGCCCAGGCCCACTTTCAACAGGGAGCAGTTGAACGTCACATTCGACTGTGGAAAGAGGTGTGGGCCAAAGTGGTTGATGAGAACGCAGTCCTTGCAGGAGACGTCCCCATGGCCACCACTTCGGTGAACACAGCCCTGAACACACTGAAGCGAGACTCAGGGTTCAGCCCTTCCCAAGCAGTGTGGGGACGCGACCCCCAACTCCCAGAAGAAGTTCTCAGCGGAGCACATGGCGAACACTTCGACCACGTGCTGACGAAGGACCGTCGCCGGGCGAGAGAGATGGCATTGCGCACGGCGGCGAAAGAGGCGTACTTCAAATGCCACAGAGACGCAAAGTTCAGGAGGGCACTCCTACAGAGGTCAAGAGTTGCAGGGCCCGAACTACAGATTGGGGACCACGTGTACATGCATCGCAAGCCCAAGAACCAGAAGTCCTGGTACTGGTATGGCCCTGCGGTCCTGATTGGGAGGGAAGGCCCGAACTACTGGGCTTCTTTCGCCGGGAGATGCCACCTCATCGCTCCAGAACACATTCGTCTCGCGACGGGGGAAGAATTAGGACAAGCCTTCTCTCTCAGGGCTACCAAGGATGATCTCTACCGGCTGATCGAGGCGGATTTCGATGATGAGGAGATGTTCGTCGGAGAACCAGAAGAAGGAGCCCGGGAGGACGAGCAGAGGAGTAACAGGGATCCTGGCAGGTCATCTGGTGAGGCTCGAGAAGAGGTTTCCCCCGAAATTCCCCACCTTCGCAAGCGCATCAGGACGAAAGGCCCTCCATCTCAGAACCAAGGACTTTGGACGGATGGGAACGGAGGCGAGGGAGAGGCCCTGGCCGTCGACCACAGCGCGGTGAAGGACACGTATATGATGAAAAGGGCTCCGACACATCGCAGTAGAGAGAAGGCGCTCGAGAAGGAGATTCCCTGGTCGTTGATCCCGGAGGACCAGAAGGAGAACTTCAAGATTGCAGAGTTGAAACAGTATGAAGAACACCTGCAGTATGGTGCCCTCGAGCCGTTGGACGTGGAGACGAGTAGGAAAATCAACCAGCTCAAGAAGGACAGGGTGCTGGACAGCAGGTTTGCTTACAGAGATAAGAACTGGAGCAAGCGCCGCAAAGACCCAGGCATCAGCTGGAAAGCAAAATCGAGGCTAGTGATCAGTGGGCACCGAGATCCAGATCTCCTTCGCGGCCTCCCTACCCACGCGCCGACGATCTCGAGGCAAGGCATCCACCTCCTCCTGCAGATCCTCGCCTCGAACCTCAAGAATGGGTGGACTGGGCATGCAGGCGACGTGACTGCAGCTTTTCTTTCGGGCGAAGAACTTCAGCGGGAGCTATATCTCCGTCAACCCCGTTCCGGCCTTGGATCTCTACATCCCGAACAACTGCTACGTATACGGAAAGGCATTTTTGGCCTTGTAGACTCGCCAGCTTCATGGTGGGCGAAGTTGAAGAAGACCCTCAAGGCCCTGGATGTCGATGATGGTTCCGGAAAGAGGTGGAGGGTGACTCAATGCTCACTGGATCATTGTATCTTTATGGTACAACCAGTCTTGGAGGAAGGAGGTGAAGGTGAAGTAAAACTGGGGGCCCCCGAGGCCTATCTTGGCATCCATGTCGACGACATCCTCCTGATCGGGGACGACGAGTTGTGCCAGCTCTTGAAGAAGAAGTTGAGTGACACCTTCCCTATCCAAGAATGGGAGAGCAATGCCTTCGACTATGTGGGTTCGTACATCGAGATCGGCAAGGACATGGTCACTCTGACACAGTCGGGGTACGTGGGCACGCGCCTCTTTACCTTAGAAATCCGTCCTGGGCAGCAAGACTGGGAAGAGGCTGATGCAGAACAACGCCATGACAATATGTCTCTGATCGGAGCTTTGTCGTGGCTGTCGAGTCAATCCCGTCCTGACCTTCAAGTTGGAGTGTCGTTGAGCCAGCAATGCCAGAGAAACCCCACGGTAGGCGACTTGAAGTTCACCAACCTCCTCGTGAAGAGGGCCTTCGAGCACCAGGACAAGGGGATCACCTTCCGGGCCATAGACCTCGACCGCGCGGTGTTGCTCTGCTACCACGACGCCGGATGGGCCAACTGCCCTCAGAGCCAGGATGACCCATACTACAGCCTGACCAATGAGGAGGAGCAGAACGGGATGATCTTGGAGGGCCCCTATGCGATCAAGGACCGCAAGGCGAAGAGGACGAACTCGTCCATCGCCTCGCAGATAGGCACCCTCTTTGCATTGGCCGACGAGGAGATCTTGCATGGACATCGTCGAATGGCAAGCGTCCTTGACTGGAAGAGCTCAGCATGCGACAGGGTTTGTAGATCCACTTTCGCAGCGGAAACGATGGCCTGCGCGACCGCTATTGAGACCGGAGAGTACATAGTCAAATTCCTCGAGAGTTTGTTGAAGGGAGAACTGTACAGAAGAGGACCATCTCGATTTCGGGTCCGATTTCTCTCTGATTGCCGAAGCCTGTTTGACCATCTGACAAGAGAAGGAATTCCCAGGGTTCCAAGTTGCAAGAGACTGGCCATTGACTTAGCTGCTATACGTGATGATTTAGAGGGTTTCGGCCGTCTCGCTTGGATCCCCACAGGGGCACAGATGGCAGATTTGCTCACCAAACCACTGAAGAGTGGGGCATGGTGGGCACAGTTTCAGGAGGGTTTGAAACTCACTTTTAAAGAGGAGGTTTCGAAGCAGTGTAAAGCTGTGGAAGAAACCCCCCCGTAGCCCTCCTGGCAGGCGTCCGACTTTCTTTCCGAAGGCACACGAGTTTGGCTCCGAATGGAAAAGGAGCGAGTGGCGGAGGCCGGGCCCCGAGGGTCTTTTCTTAGTTTTAGACTAAACCCTAAACCCTAAACCCGAAACCCTAAACCTCCCCCCCCCCCCCCCCCCGAAGGGCCCCCCTGCGTAAGCGAATTCCGCATCATCAGGGAGGCACATCTTGCAGCTCAGGAGGCCGGTGCACACCTGCAAAATAGGGTTTTAGGGTTTTGGGTTTAGGTTTTAGGGGGGGGTTTAGGGTTTAGGGTTTAGGGGTTAGGGGTTTGGGGTTTAGGCTGTTCTGGGTGTTGGCTCTGAAGTATGGGCCCCTGGGCTTGGTAGGGTATGAGGGGTATATAAAGGTTCCCCTAATTAAGGGCCCATATTCATGGGCCATGAGCCTACAAGTAGGGGCCCGCTTACTAACCCAAGTTAGGGCCCTTATAACACTATTTCAATTTCTATCTAGGAGGCCCCTACATGTACCCACAAGTTTTGAAGCTGGACTGGCCCCCGTGTACCTGTAGAATATACTAACTCTACTATATGGGAATCCCTTTAGGCCCACGTATGATTCTACCTAAGAACATGGACCCGGTGGGGGTGGGCACCCATCACCCAGCAGGCCTTGAAGTGTAAGCTGCCAAGGGTATAAGGTTTAGGGTTTAGGGTTTAGGATATAAGGTTTAGGGTTTAGGGTTCCCTGCCTTGCAGTTCGTGTTGCAGCGGGAACATCGCCGGCTCAGCTCGTTGCGGTAGAAGCCTCGAGGGTGCTGGAGCTTAGGGCTTCGTCCGGCTAGCCCGGGGGCCTTGTCCACTTATAGGGCAGAGAGTTTGCAGGAGGTTGCCCTAAACCCTCAACCCTAAACCCTAAACCCTGAACCCTAAACCCTAAACCCTAAACCCTAAACCCTCCAGTTTTGGGCTTTATGGACCTCCAGAGAAGTACTCGAGACTCAGGAGGAGCTGATTCAGCCGCTTCTGCAACTTTGGTACCATGAACTGCAACTTCAAGCAACTCCCGTCTCCTTAGGACTAGGGTTTAGGGTGTAGGGTTTAGGGTTCAGGGTTTAGGGCGTACTTGAAGGTTCAGGTGTAGTTGCAAGTAGGGATAGACCGGGATAGATCTACCCCAACTACCCATAGAGTGTCTTGAACTTGCAAGTACACAAGACTGCTGACGGCTACCCCGCGCCTTCGGGACAGAAGTTGACACACCTCCTATCGGCGAGCATCTGCTGGCTTGCAGCACTTACTCACTTAGGGTTTCGGGTTTAGTTGAAGTTTAGGGTTTCGAATTTGGAAGAAACCTTCGCCTCTGAAACCTGGACCCCCAAAACCCTAAACCTAAACGAATTCCACGACTCAACAAAGGACACCGTCCTCAGCTCCCTGTCAACGTCTCGTTAGGGACTGAGACCTTGGGGGCTTTAGTGCCTAATCTAGGGGTCGGAAGAATTACTACTATTATTCCCTTTTGGTTTAGGATTTAGGGTTTAGGGTTTAGGGTTTAGGGTTTAGGGTTTAGCGTTCAGGGTTTAGGGTTGAGGGACTACTAGTATTCCCTTTTGGTCCCGATATAATTGCCCCGAACCCCATCCTTGCGGGCCATGTACCTATACAGGTACATATACTTGGGCCCTATGAAGCTGCTACATGGAACCCCTTTCAGGCTCAAGTATAAACTATGCAGGCACATGGACCCTTCAGTAGGGCTATTCCAATTATTGAGGCTCCGAGCCAGTGGACAGGAACTTCCAGGTGAGCACAGCGTCGCTCAGGGCAGAACTTGTTGCACCCTGTGCCCACGACACCTGCTGCCGCAAGGTGCCCAACTTCACTGACTCCTGGTCACCAGCCGACTGGCGTTTCCTTCATTCTCGACCTTGTCGTTGTAGCCGGCCAGGATTCTGCTGAAAGTGTGCAGCCAAGGCTTCCGGTCTGCGAAGCCCTATATACGGCGGGTTTAGGGTATGCAGGCCCTAAAGTAAGGTTGAGGGCTTGGGAAAGTCTAGGGTTGAGGGCTTAGGGAAGCTTAGGGTCTGGGTTGTAGGGCTTAGGATTTAGGGTTTAGGGTCTGGGTTCGCGGCTTGTGTGCTGGCTTCGGGCTTCAGGGCGCCCAGACCCAAGAGTAAGCTACGTAGTTATTGAAAGGGTACCCTTTTTGGTTTAGAGGGGCTTACAACAAGGGAACCTACCACCTAAAGAATGGGAATAGGGCCTACTCTGGGTCTTATAGTAACCCTAAACCCTAAACCGCAAAAATGGTGCAAATAAGGGCCCAACTACTCTGGGTCTTATAGTAACCCTAAACCCTAAACCGCAAAAATGGTGGAAATAAGGGCCCAACTACTCTGGGTCTTATAGTAACCCTAAAGCCTAAACCGCAAAAATGGGGGAACAAGGGCCCAACTACTCTGGGTCCGTTCATGCTTTCTGATCCAGTCCTCGTCTGCGGTTCGAAGAACGGCTTCTCGGCCGGGCAATTCCCTCGCATTATCTTCCTCAGCATGGAGTTTGGAGTTTAGGGTTTAGGGTTTAGGGTTAAGGGTGTGTACATAAGATTCAGAGCTCAGAGCTTAGGGTTCAGGGTTGCACGTCCGAGGCCAGAGACTAGGGGCCTCAAGGATTTTGCCGTTTCGGATGCCGGCGATATTACCCTAAAACCCCAAAACCCCAAAACCCCAAAACCCCAAAACCCCAAAACCCCAAAACCCCAAAACCCCAAAACCCCAAAACCCCAAAACCCCAAAACCCCAAAACCCCAAAACCCCAAGACCCCAAGACCCTGAAACCCTGAAACCCTGAAACCCTAAAACCCTGAAATTCTAAAATCCTAAAACCCTAAACTCTAATTAAACCCTAACTTGCCGTGGCTGTGAGGGCAGAGACAGCTGCGTGCTCAGGGTTGACTCCGTGCCTTCTTCGTGCTAGAGATGTCATAAACCCTAAACCCTGAACCCTAAACCCTAAACCCTAAAACCCTAAAACCCTAAACCCTAAACCCTAAACCCTTTACCACTCATGAAGCGCCAAACTGGGCGGGGCAGGTGCGTCCATCGAAACTCACGAGAAGCCGTCCAAAGCCAAGATCCTAGATTGCTTACGAAACCCTAAACCCTAAACCCTAAACCCTCAACCCCAAACGCAAGAGGTGCCTGTTGAACTGGAAAGGACAGAACATCAGCCCCAGATCATGGCTCTTCGATACAGGATGTCTCACAGAAGAGCACGCAAGTAGTGCCTTAGCCAAACTGCGATAATGTTCTAGCACACCAGACAGAACAGGCACGACACTGCGGAGATGAACATGTTGGTTTACGAAAATAAGGTCCCCCTACATAGCCCCCAAAATAGTAAGATTCCCTTTTCATAAGCCCCCCAAGGAGGTACCCCTAAACCCTAAACCCTAAACCCTAAACCCTGAACCCTAAACCCTACCTAAACCCTAAACCCTAAACCCTAAACCCTAAACCCTAAACCCGAAACCCTAAACCCTAAACCCTAAACCTTAAACCCCAGCATAAACCCTAAACCCTAAACTCTAAACCCTAAAGCCTAAACCCTAAACCCTAAACCCTAAACCCCAGTATAATCCCCTTTTTGCGGAAAGCCCCCTTAAGTGGCTTCTGCAACCCAGCCACAGCGTGTAGGTGCCGATGCTGGCCTGCACATCGGGCTCAGGTTTCTCTCCTTCTCTCCAGAGGGCTGGGTGGCTTGCTACAAATCTCTTTAGGGTTTAGGGTTTAGGGTTTAGGGTTTAGGGTTTAGGGTTTAGGGTTTAGGGTTATTTCGGGGGTGCTTTGGAAGTCAGGGTGAACTGCCTATAGTGCCTACGCCCTAAACTCTGAAACCCAAAATACAAGCAGCCTAAACTACCCAAAGCCCCAAACTAATGCCCCCCCCTGAACCCAATAACCTTATGTAAACCCAATAACCCTACAGTAAGCCCGAGACCCAACTACTATCCCCTGAAATAAACCCCAACCCTAAACCCGAGTTCCGCCTGGGTGGGGTCTGCACATTGGATGGTGATGGTGATGTTCCGCGTGAATCCCACGTCCAGCCTCGGAGCGTCTGCTAGGACCATGTTGAACAAGGCTTGGAGTTTTGGGACGGTTTAGGGTTTAGTTTAGGGTTTAGGATTTAGGGTTTCGGGCTTAGGGCCCCAAACCCTAAACGCCAAACCCGAAGGTCTAAACCCTCAAAGTTTGGGAGCAAATTGATATGGCCTGGGCTCAAGCATATGGAAGTCTAGACATGTCGAAGTCTAGTATGTCGATACGTGGAACGCTGGGTCATACAGTATAATCTCCATTTCAGGACCCCCCCCCCTCCCCCCGGAAAAAACAGAAAGGTAACCAACCTACTTAGGAGGCATATGGGTAGACATGATCGGACCAGCTACAGAGTATGCATCGGGCTGCATAGCTTCTCCCTCCTCACTGTTGTGACTGAAGTTTCGAATCAGGGTTTAGGGTTTAGAGTGGAAACATCTGAGTTGGGCTGTAAACCCATGAGAACTTTCTTTATGAATATGGTCTTGCTCTTGTAGAAAAACGGAGGGGGGGGGGTGACCACGACGCACGCAACTATACTACACCCCAGTCTCTACAAGACCCGAAGCCCTAAGCCCCATGCCCTACCCTCCCCCCCGAAACAAAAACGGTAAACAAACAAAAGCACAACAATAAAGGTAACAGAACACAACAATATGAATATGTTCCTAACCCAGCAGCCATATGAACAAAAAAAAGGGAAAAGGGTATCACTGGGCTACCAAGATATACACCCTAAACCCTAAACCCTAAACCCTAAACCCTAAACCCTTCCCCTTTTAACCTGAGCTCGAAGGCATGAAGTTGGCCACGGCATCTTTGTATTGCACCTCCCGTCTTTCTGAGATCTCTACCTCACTACGGGCTTTTGGAGGGTTTTACCCTAAACCCTAAACCCTAGGGCTATTGCTTTAGGGTGTTTAGTTCTAGTTTGTTTTTTGAGGGTTTTGTTACAGGATTTTCGGGGTCTTCAGGGTGTTAGGGTTCAGGGTTTCGGGGTTGCATCCCTTATGAGAAAGGGTGACGTCCCCTGTCGCCAGCTTTTTCCTTGCCTTTGCTCACTAAGGTGTCGGGCTACTGCAAGCAAACCCTAGCAATACCTCAAGTGGGATGACTTGGCTTGGAGGGGTAGCGGAGTGAGCGTAGGGTTTAGGTAATTGAGAGGGTTTGGGGGTTTAGAAAGTTTCATGGAGGCCCTAAACCCTACAAACCCTAAACCCTACAACCCCTAAACCCTAAACCCGAAAAACCCTAAACCCTAGAAACCGTAAACCCTAAACCCTACAAACCCTAAACCCCAAACCCCCTAAACCCCTAACCCCTAAACCCTATAAACCCAAAACTCTTCTCTGGAGGTGGGCCGTCGGAAGCCTCGGATTCCAGAGGCCCAACGCGAAACCAAGGGTTAAAGTCATTTGTTTGGGGAGGTTTAGGGTGTAGGGTGTAGGGTTTAGGGTTTAGGGTTTAGGGTTTAGGGTTTAGGGGTTAGGGTTTAGGGTTTAGGGTGCTTGTTTCATCGTCCAATACGCCCTCTACCCTAAACCCTAAATCCTAAACCCGAAAACCCTAAACCAGTTGGCCTGATGTTGGTTCCTGCCGGCAAATCTTACTCCTCCCAGTGGAATCATGCGTAGATTTCCTCCGACGACGTCCTTTGCGATGTTGGAATAGCCCAATGCCTAACCCTAAACCCTAAACCCTAATGTTGCTTGCTGGATACCGGTCTGCGTCCCCGTGGAGCGGATGACACACCAGATCCCCCCCCCCCCCCCGCCCATCGTCCTGAATCTTTTCGCACGTTGCGTCATGGGACGCGAACCCGATACCCCGGGGTTTAGGGTTTAGGGTTTAGCGTTTATAGGGTTTAGGGTTTACGGATGTCCTCTCCGCACCCAATGCACCTCAAGATGGCTCGCGATGAGGTCGATGCAAGATTTGAGAGCTCTGTGTAGGGGTCCTTAAACTTGAGACTGTACCTAAGCAGCACATGCATGGGCCCCAAAGTCGCTCTAAAAACCTAAACCCTAAACCCTAAACCCTAAACCCTAAACCCTAAACCCTAAACCCTAAACCCTAAACCCTAAACCCTAAAGGAAGTACTTAATTTAAGAAAGTTGGGGCAAGCTTCTGTCTCCTAGGACACCACGGAGGAATGCCAACAGGTCTCACGGATATTGGAAGAAGTAAAGTCTAGGGTTCAGGGTCCCAGGGTATTTAGGAGACAGGAAGCCGCCGTCTTAGAGCTGCTTAGGATACAAGAAGCTAACGGCTAGGCTCTAGGGCTAAAGGCCAAGCTTTTATTGGGAGTTTGGGCTCTGGGAAGTCACGGTTTTGGGCTATCGAACGCTGGAGGATTAGGCGTTTTCTTCAGAATCTGATGGAATGTTCAGAGAGCTTCAAGGCTTTTTTGGGGGTTCTCGATTTGAGGTTTAGGGTGTAGGGTGTGGGGGTTTAGGGTTTGGGCTTAGGGTTTAGGGTTTCGGGTTCAGGTTGAAGACGAACCCTTAAGGGTCCATGTACTTAGACAGTGTACACATTTGGCTTCTTTAACAAAAACAGCGGTAGGGTGCCCGTTTTGGTTTAAAGGGGCTTATGAGGAAACCTAAGCCCTAAAGCAGAGAGAACAATAAGGGCCTGCTCTGGGTCCTAGGTAGAATGAAGGGCTACGCTCATGGAAACCCTAAACCCTAAACCTAAACCCTAAATGTGTCTCTGGCCGGCCTCCCCGCTGGGCTCGTGGAGGTCCTCCTTCTTGGCCACGCCCCTTGGCATCCGGTCGGTTGGGGGTTACCCTAATAGTCCATGTACCTAAATATCGAATACTTGGGCCATAAAGTACTTCCTAGAAAGGGAGTTTTGGGCTGAAGTATATATATATATATACTATGTATAATGATGAGGTAGGGTTGAAGGCTTGAGTCTTGGGGTCCATGTATGGTTTCGGGGTTTTTAGGGCTCCGGCAAATTGAGCCCTGACTTAGAGAATTGCTCACATGTCAGCCAGCATCCCCAGGAACTTATGAGAATAGGGGCGCCCCTTTTCGTGGTCGTGTCCGACATGGATGGGCCGCGGTAAGCCCTCTGCACAGAAAGGAGGAGTGCCTAAGAGACATATAGAGGCAGTATAGACCCAAGAGACCATTTTTGGGCTAAAGGGGCGTAATAAGAGAACCTGAACCCGAAAACACGGGGAATAAGGGCCTACTCTGAGCTGGGTCCTCGGGTACAGCCCTGAACCATCGACTGCCCCCGCCGCCAAAACCACCAACAACTTGTCACACGCAGGACGGGCAACGCCCCAAGACGGCGCGAGTTCTCAGTCTCGTGAATTACCTCCGAAAACAGGCGTCGGGTTGAGGGGTTGTTGCTGGCTGGGGCTTCGATAGAAGAAGACGGCTAAACTCCGAGCTTTGAAAGCACCCATGCCAAGAAGGTCTGACTTTGAGATTCAGGGGGATGGCTACCTCTACCCTGACTTGAAATCCCCTATTCCCCCACATATACGGCAGTTTGCTCTAAACGTCCTTGCAAGGGATAGAATCGGACAAAAGGTCCATCTCAACATGGAGAATCCTTGCCAAAAGGGAGCCTTCTGGTTCCTTTGGGGACCTGGTGTTTTGAACAGCTACCATATGGGCAATTCCCAAGATAGGGTTTGGGGTTTAGGGTTTAGGGTTTAGGGAGGCAAGGTAAAGCAAGGCAAGGGGATTGCGGCGAGCATCTGCAATGGACTGGGGGCCATTGACCCACAGCAAGGCTGCCACTGAGTTACGCCACTGCTCAACCTCCAGAGGAGGATTGCCTGTATAGATCACAGCATTCTTTCGAGCCCATGCCACCACTGAGTTTTTGAAAGCCCGCCTGGCTCCAGACCGTTTCGAAAGGTCAGAGTCAGATTGACCAGACTCACTCGGTGAATCAACACCGAGACCGTGTTGCTTCCAAAAGTACACGGCTCCCCTCAGTACCAGAAATGCCCAGAAGGGTATCCCGGTTCTGGGAGCACAGCTGACCGGCCCGGACTCCACAAGGCCGCGACGCCTGTTAAGCTAGAGAAACTTGAGGAGTACTTAAATCCCAAAAAAGCCCTAAACCCTAAACCTCAAACCCGAAACCCTAAACCCTAAACCCTAGACCCTAGACCCTAGACCCTAAACCCTTGAGGGCAAGTAAGTACTGAATCCCAAATCCTGAACCCTAAACCCTAAACCCTGATGGGTCGAATTCGGAAATCGCCCCTATGCTCAGCAACCCTTTCGAGGAATTATACGTGGCAGCTAGTTCCCAACTCCCCATTCACAAATATAACAAACCTCCAACACCTTAACTCCCTAAAACTCCAAGACTCTAACGCCCTAGAACAATACCCAAAACCCAAAACCCTAAACGGCCCTAAACCCTAAACCCTAAACCCTAAACCGAAAACCCTAAAGTCCTAAACCTGAAAGGTTGGCCTCTCCCCGCCTCGTTGCCGGCGCTGATTCGCAGCCGTTGCTCCCCGTCCCGGAGCCGGTACCTTGCTGAAGGGGGGTTTGGGGTTCAGGGTTTAGGGTTTAGGGTTTAGGGTTTAGGGTTTAGGGTTTAGGGTTTAGGGTTTAGGGTTCAGGGTTTGGAGATTAGGGTTTGGGGTTTAGGGTTTAGCGTTTAGGTTTAGGGTTTGGGGCTTATGGGGTTTATAGGGAATGTAGGGTTTACAGGGTTTACAGGGTTTGTAGGGATTACAGGGTTGATATGGGTTATAGGGTTTACAGGGTTTGTAGGGTTTATAGGGTTTATAGGGTTTGAAGGGTTTGTAGGGTTTAGGGCGTGTCGGGGCTAGGGGGTGTAGGGTCTTCGCTTTGCGCCAAAAAAACTTATGTATTCTGGACGAGCGATGCAATTCAACGCATCAAAAACCTTTAAGCGGGGTTGCAGTTGCCTCCATTGGAACACTAGCCCTAAACCCGATAAACCCTGGTTTAGGGTTTGGGGTTTTAGGGTGAGAGGTTAATTAGGCCCCACAGTGCTGTCTGAGGCGCAGTATATGGGCCTCATCGGAGAACAGGTCCAAAGTCACGCTGTACACCCGCATCTGCCACGGCTGAGCGAGCAAAAATAAAAGACAACTCCTCGGGTTTAGGGTTTAGGGTTTAGGTTTTAGGGTTTAGGGTTGGTGTATAGGGCTTGCAGGGATTGCAGGGGTTACAGGGCTGAGGGTTTAGGGTACACTGGTGGGTTTTGAGAGGTTCGGCATCAGCTCCCCTGCCTTGCAAGGCTGCACTTGAGCATCCCTGGCCCTACACCCTAAACCCTAAATTTTAAACCCTAAGCGCTAAACCCAAAACCCGAAACCCAAAACCCTAAACAAAAAAACCCTAAACCCTAAACCCTAAACCCTACACTCCAAAACCCTGTAAGCCCTAAACCCTGAGCCCTTCTAAGGAACCCTCGGAGTGCTTCCTGTGCCGCTTGAGGCTTTGGGGTTGGGGTTGTGTTGTCTTAGGGTTTAGGGTTTAGGGTTTAGGGTTTAGGGTTTAGGGTTTAGGGTTTAGGGTTTAGGGTTTAGGGTTTAGGGTTTAGGGTTTGGGCTCCCTTGCCCTAAACCCTGAACCCTTCACTTTAGCGACTCTGTGACTATCGTGGAGGGCGGAGTAGAGATGGGCAGAAACGGCCCAAGAGCCCAAAGCACCCCCAATTCTACTTCATTTTTTGGAGTGGCTTGTTTTCCTTGCGGGAGGGGGGGGGGGGGGGGGGTTCTTAACTTCAATTTTGATAACCTCACCGAATATGAGCCAGAGACCCCTAATTAGACTCCTACACCCGAAACCCATGCACACAAACTGCGCTGACAGGGGGGGCGGTTGCGGTTTATGGTTTATGGCTTATGGTTTAGGGTTAAGGGATCAGGGTTTAGGGTGTAGGGTGTAGGGTTTAGTGTTTAGGGTTTAGGGTTGGAGGTTCAGGGTTTAGGGTTTAGGGGGGTCGAAGACCCCAGTCGAGACGAATCCGAGCCTGCGGTTGGAACGGGAAGGGGCTCAGCTTGCCGTTCTCCACCTGAAGCTCACTGGGGGGGAGGGGATGAGTTAGGGTTTAGGGTTTAGGGTTTAGGGTTTAGGGTTTAGGGTTTAGGGTTTAGGGTTTAGGGTTTAGGGTTTAGGGTTTAGGGTTTAGGGCTTAGGGTTTAGGGTTTAGGGTTTGAGGGTTTGGGAGGGGTCGTAAGGAGTTTTGAGGGGTTCAAGGGGTTTAAGGGGGCTGAGAATTAAGGGAAGCAAGGGTTGAAGGAGTTCAAGAGTTTGAGAGCTTAAACCCTAAACCCTAAACCCTAAACCCTAAACCCTAAACCCTAAACCCTAAACCCTAAACCCTAAACCCTTACCCTCAGGATAGCCGTGCAAATGTCCGCCCGCGTTCCCTATACTTTTGTGGGTGCTGTAGGCCAAACCCCAAAACCTTAAACCCAAAGCCTTAAGCCCTGAACCAAAACCCCATTGTAAACTCTAATTCAGCAAGTTACTTCGTCCAAGGCAAGCTTAAGCCCAATGCTTAAACCCTGACCCTAACATAAAAGCCTTAGGCCCTAAACATGGAAATGTCCAAACCGCAGATACCCTAAACCCTGAAAGCTGCAAACCGTGGATACCCAAAACCCTATAAGCCCTGAACGCAAAACCGTCAAAACCCGATCAACCCGAAAACCTCAACCCACAACCCTCTAAACCCTAAAACCCTAAAAGCCTAGAACCCCACAACCCTAAAACCCTAAGACCCTAAAAACCCTAAAACCCTAAAACCCTAAACCCTAAAACCCTAAACCCTAAAACCCTAAAACCCTAAACCCTAAACCCTAAACCCTAAACCCTAAACCCCAACTCTTTAGAACTTCGGCGACCAGCCTCCAGCTTCTGGAGGTCCGTCTCGGAGCCCAGGAGACGCTTGACGGTGACGCTGTAGGCCTTTCAGGGGGTGTAGGGTTTAGGGTTTAGGGTTTAGGGTTTAGGGTTTAGGGTTTCGGGCTTAGGTTGTTTGTGAGGTCTTAAGGGGTTCATAGAGTTATAGCCTATAGGGCTTTACATATAGGGATTACTATTTGTAAGGCTTATATAGGGCGCTTTCGAAAAAACAAATGGGGTTTATGGGGCCAAAGCCTATGGGTTGTTATTTTCAGGGTTATGTTAGGGTTACCCTAAACCCTAAACCCTGAACCCCAAACCCTAAACCCTAAACTACATGGACCCTTAGGGAGGGTTATGAGAAGCAAGCCAACGCTTCATCCCAAGGGCCTGGCACCTAAACCCTAAACCCTAAACCCTAAACCCTAAACCCCAAACCCTAAACCCTAAACCCTAAACCCCAAACCCTAAACCCCAAACCCTCAACCCTAAAAACCCTGAACCCTAAACCCTAGACCCTGAACCACACTTGGACCGCAGCTCCCAAATCGGTCATCCCCTTGCACACCTGCGCCTCCAAAACCTCCAGGGGTGCTACCTCGGACCCTTAAGGTTGTACCCTTGGGTTTTGGGGCCCCTTTTTGAGGATCCTTAAGGGAATATGAGGGCCATATTAGGAGTATATCAGGGGGAACCTTTAGGGGTACAACCTTAAGGGTACGAGTCTGAATCCCTTGATGTCCAAAACCCAAAAGCCCCAAAAACCCTAACCCTCTACACGTTTGGGATGTTCACCCTTATACTATCAGTCCTTAATAGGGATTACAGTACCCATGTTCAGGACTGCTAGTAGAAGGGGGAACATCCCTAACCCTAAACCCTAAACCCCAAACCCCAAACCCT